CACTCACTCACTCACTCACTCAATCACTCATTAATTTACCATAATTTAATTGATAGCCTACCGGACCGATGAGGGAAAGCCATATCTACTACCAGTTGTGCAAAAAGTGGAAAAATCGTTAGCCATTGCCGACGACTTACACCACGAATATGTTCCCCAATTGGGCGACGAGGCGTTCACGCGATCGGCCACTAGACTACTATTGGGAGGCGATAGTCCCGCCATCGCCGAGAAGCGTGTAATACATTTAATTAACCACTTTAACACAATAACTAAATATCAACAAATTAATTTAAAATTTATTGCTTAATTATCCAATATAACCATGTCTAATATTTTTTAAAAACTCATATATTGTGCAGACACTGGGGATTCAATCACTGTCGGGAACGGGTGCTCTGAAAATCGGGGCCGACTTATTGCGGGAAGCGGTCGGTTTCAACACAATTTACTTACCCGTCCCTTCATATGGTAAGCATTATTACATGAATTAATAATTAACATAATAAGGTAATAAACATAATACTCTATACCAAACAGCAAACCATGAGCTATTGTTTAGCCGGGCGGGCTTTCAGGTGCTCACTTACCGATATTACGACAATGTCCGGCACCTATTAGACATGAATGGTATGATCACTGACATACGCCAAGCAGCACCTGGATCAGTCATATTATTTCATACTTGCGCTCACAACCCAACCGGTATGGATCCGACCCGAGACCAGTGGTCACAAATTGCCGACATAATGGTTGAGCGCCGACTGTTTCCCTTTTTTGACTGCGCCTACCAGGGCTTCGCATCGGGCGATCCCGATAGAGATGCCTACAGTGTACGTCTGTTTGTGGACCGGGGGTTAGAGTTGGTGTGCGCCCAATCATTTTCTAAAAATTTTGGTCTTTATGGTACTAGTTCATTTTAATATCTCATTGTATTTACATTTATTATGAGTTGGTACTATATTTATTTTGTGCAAAAATCATCTAGGCGAACGCGTTGGCAACCTAACCATAGTGCTAAATAACCCCAAACCTATTGAAAATATATGCTCACAAATGTTGATGATTGTACGTGGTAATTATAGCGGTCCGCCCTCACACGGGGCTAGCATTGTGACCAAGATACTAAACGACCCACAACTATATGAAGAGTGGTGAGTAGTTTTAATTAAGCGTTATGTTAATTATTTATTCCATCTAGTTTAATTTAAATTGTAAAACATTGTAATGAACAAAAAGTTACTTTTTTGTATTGATTACGTTAGCATTTTTATTAAAATATTTATATAGGAAGTGTTGCGTACAAATAATGGCAACACGAATGCGGGAAATGCGGTCCCAATTGCGGGAACACTTGGAACGGTTGGGAACACCGGGCGAGTGGTCGCACATTACCCGACAGATCGGTATGTTTTCCTATACGGGATTAACCGACAGACAGGTCACACATTTGTTGGACTCGTATCACATTTATATGCTCTCAAATGGCCGGTTGTCGATGTGTGGACTGACCACTAAAAATATTGAATACGTGGCCAAAGCTATTAGAGATGCAGTGATTAAGTTTCCGTAAATTATTTGTGTATTTATTATAAATAAATAGTTGTCATAAAAAAGTAATTAATAATTAACATTAAGATTTATAATTACAATTTTAATTGTATTTAATTAAACAAAATTTTATAAAATATTGTTGTTTAAATGAATTAACTCTAACTTGTGAGTAGACCATTAAAAAATGTAATTGACATTGCTTAATTAAATTTTTATATTGTACTTTATAAACTAATTAAAAATCAAATAAGTCAATAAAATATCTGGTACAAATAATTTGTTGTCAAGTGATAATAATTTTTAATGTAATTGCGTTTTATGCTTGATCAATGATCATTTATATTCTAATAATTGTAAAAATTAAATTAAAGTATAGATAAAATTTTAATATATTTATAGTAAATGATGACAACTGGAGAGTATTTTGATGATGATAACTATAATTTGCTTCTACTTTATGTTGTATTTATGGTTAACAATATCATTGTTTAGTATATTCACTGACTTATTCACTGAATAATTCACTGACAATATCATTAAGTAAACAGAAAGTAAATTCAAATATATAGTGCAACTTAAAGTGTATTCTGTTAATTAATTATTTAATTGCTTCATTTATATTCTAATACTATTACAAAATTCTCATGTAAGTAAAGTCTTTGAATTTAATTGTTATATTTATTGATGGTATTTCCAAATTATATAATTAATTCATGTGTGTATGAAACGTTTGCAATTAAGATGTGACAAAATTCATTGGCAAAATTTTAAATAGAACAAATGAAGCGTTTTATCTTAAATAGTGCTAAGTAAAATGGAAGTCAATGTATTTCGCACATGCGGTTTTTCCGATTACTTTTTATCTATATACACGTGGTATGCCTAATATGGGGCAATTCCAAATCCACATATTTTTGGTCAAACTATAAAAAATATAGAGATTGTCTCAATGTGTAATTTATAATAGGAAAACAGAGATATAAAATAATTATTAAATTCGTACATTTAGTTCTGTATTTAAAGCGTGAAAATGATAGGTTAATTTCAATCCATTTCTATGGGTTAGTGTTAAATCTATAGCAATACTAAATTTACGAGTAATATTAAGTTTGTATCATTCCTAATTTTATTGGTTAATTTTAAGCCTATGGAAATGCAAAGTTTACGAGTAGTACCAATCTGTCAAATTTTGAGGTTCAGCTAATTAAATATACAAATTTTGTAAACCACATTCATTATTTCAAATTTTCCTCTATAAAACTAATATAAAATCTAAAATACATTTCCAAATTTAATAATTTTTTTATATTACACATTGAAACAATCCCTATATTTCTTATAGTTTGACCAAAAATATGTGGATTTGGAATTGCCTCATGTTAGGCATACCACGTGTATATAGGTAAAGAGTAATCGGCAAAACCGCATGTGCGAAATACATTGACTTCCATTTTACTTAGCACTATTTAAGATAAAACGCTTCAAATGTAGATAGCAATAGCAATATTAAGTATATTTGTAATTTTTAAATTGTATTAAAAAGTTTAAATGGCAACTAAATACTAAACTGTAATATTGAACATTTACATGTTTCAAAATATAATTTTGTTTAAATAAATTCTTTATGTATAAATATGATTATTTTAATGACATATACCGTACTGATCATTAGTTATCAATACACATAATTTACATGTATTCAGAATGTATAATGTAAATGTTATGATAAAATATTAATGATAACATTAAACAATTTTAATTTCTTATGACTCATATATGTTATTTTAATATTTTAAAAATTTTAATGAAATTCAATGAAAGCAGTATTTAATCATAAGTGATAAATGCAATATGTGAAAATATATTACAATTAAGGTTTTTAAATAAAATTAAGATCTTATCAAGTGAGTAAAATCCATTGTAATTTATGCTTACTATTGTATGTTGTATTAATCCTATTATATTTATTAAGATAACCACCTATTTTGAGTGGGTTCCCTATGATTTCAATGCATTTATGCCTATCAACCCTCAATAGTGGTCAATGGTTTGAGCACTCATTTGAATTGACATTTGA